GGGCGGTATCTGGCAAAGATGAAGCAGGTGGGGGAGCCCTGGGTACCACTGCCCCTCCCCAGGGCGCCCCCCTTCCTTTTCCCCGGGGCGCCCCCCTTCCTTTTCCCCGGGGCACCCACCTTCTCCCTGTGCTGCCTGGCCGGGGCTCCCCTTTGCCGTGCCGGGTCCTGGCCCCAAGGGCTGGATGCCCCAAGGGCAGTCACTGTGCTTTTGCTGCTGCTTTCTGGCGATGCTCCTGAACCCCCTTTTTGATGCTTTCTAGGAGCCGGTGAAGCCAGAGGAGGGGAGGGACATGGCCAACAGGATCAACGCCTTCGGCTACCTCGAGTGCTCGGCCAAGACGAAGGAGGGCGTGCGGGAGGTCTTCGAGATGGCCACCCGCGCGGGGCTGCAGGTCCGCAAGAACAAGAAGCGCAGAGGCTGCCCGCTGCTGTGAGCAGCCCGGTGGGCCAGGAGGCTGCTGCCTGTGCCAGCCCCCGGCTGCCCGGCGAGGGAGCGCTGGCTGAAGCGGGACCTCATGGTGCCGGTACCCTCCCCGAGCCCTCCGCACAAGAGCTGCCACCCAAGCCCCGGGGTTGTCCCTGTGTGACCCCGGGGCCGTGAGGGGCCAGTGCCTTCAGTCCCCACTGCTCGCTATGGGCCGGGCGTTTGTCTAGCGCTCCGTGTCACCCCCTTTTGTACCAGTCTCCCTGGTTTTGCCTCTCCCATGGGGATGCCACGGCGTTCGCTCTCCCTCTCCAGCTCCGGGCAGGTGCCGCAGAAGCAGGAGGTGCCGCACACCAGCGTTTTATACAGACTTGTCCGGGGCGCGTTTCAGCCCCATCTGCATGCAGAGCGGGCTCAGCACCCCCCCAGGGAGCCGTGCTCGGCCGCTGCCAAAGCGCTCTGCTCCCGGGACCCGCGCTGGGGCAGCGCCTCTGCCCAGCTCTGCCAGTAACGCCACCTTCCAGTCTGCATCGGTCACGGACCAGCAAACTGAACTGCCTAATTGGGAAAATAAATGCAAACTGGTATTTCGGTAATCGTAGCTCTGCTTGTGTGGGATCCTTCTGGCCATCCTTCGTGCCCCTGGGCTGGTCCGGGCAGCTGCCTGCGGGTCCACACGCTCGGCCCCCAGCCCCTCCTGCTTCAGCCGCTGGTGCAGGATCAGGGCTCATCACCTCCTGCTTTGGTAAGACCCTGGGAGCAGCTTATGTGGGAATTGCTGGGCAGGAGCTCCCCCGCTGTCCCCAGTCCCTGGTGTGACAGGCGCCGTGGTCGCCACTGGAGCCACCCCTCCCCTGTCACCGTGCTGGAGCAGGGCAGGGCTGCAGCAAGCCTGTCCTTCCTCTGGCAGCCCCGGCAGCCCCAGCTGTGGCGGCAGGGCCCGGGACTTGACATCAATACTCTCTTTTTCTCTAAACATTTATTCCAGGGAAACAAAGTGAAGCGTGCCCATGTGGCCGTGCCAGCTCTTGGGCCAGGCAGCTGCCTGGCGGGGACCCCCAGCCACCCTGTGCCGGGCCGGGTCCCTGCCTGCACCCCCATTGCCCGTTGGGCTGCACCGAGCGCCCCCGCGCACCCAGGGATACTCGCCAGGGGCCAGGCTCTTGCTTAAGCTGCTCACTGAACGGTGAGACCGGGCACGGAGAAGTGGCGTTCCATGGCTGTGTCAAAAACTGTTTAAAAGGGAGGGTGGTCCCAGTCCAGCACGGGTGCAGCCCCGCTCTGCCAGGGGAGGGGTCTGCCCCAGCCTGCCCCGCGGTCCCTGCCGGGGCTCTTGGCTGGGAGCGGAGGCTGGCAGGACCCCCGTGCCCAGCGGGCTCAGCCCCATCCCCGCAGGGGCGCACAGTGTGCTGAGCACCCCGGGGCCGAGGCAGGGCGAGAGCAGGGAGCCGCTGCAGGGCAGGGGGAGGCTGGGGGTGCTGGAGCTCCACGGGGCTTCTCCTCCTTTCCCAGGTGGGTTTTCTGTAAAGAAACCCCATGGCAGAGCTCGGGAGGGGACAGGCAGCCCCCCAAGGGAGGGGCCATCCTGAGCCCTGTCACGTTTGCTGCAGAAGCCTCCCAGTGTCCCTGAACCTGAACCCAGGGCGCTGGTGCAGCACGGCCGGCAGCTCCCAGCCCCGCTCCCGGGGGGCTCCATCGGCCGGGGCCCGCCC